GGACTTATCCTGTATGCTTTTTCCCAGTGTTCCTTCTTTACATGCTTCTGAACTTCTTCAAAATGTTCAGAAGCATCCTCCATATTTATAACCCGTACCTGAAAGAGGAAAAAAATAATCAATATTCAAATACACATGGCATAACAAAATAGCAAATAAACATGGAAAACACAATGAAACATCTCCAGTCTCACTAAACGTACGTACCACACCTATTAGTACAATATCTATTTTAGAGTCGCTATTGTGGTAACCAATTCCAGGGAAGTCAATCAAGAGGATCCCTTTTTTTTTTCTAATCAACATATTGATAGATTTGCAAATGTTTCCTGCTGTGTAACATCATATACTATTTCAATATCACACATAAAACTGCATCAGAATAAATTAACAGCCTCTAAGCACCATTAGCAAAGCCTTACATTTCAAACCCCAACACCGCCCCACCCAAAAAAAAAAAAAAAGCATTGATAAAATAAAAGCAGCAAGAGTCTTCAAATGTAACCAAGCAATCACCTTTAGAAATCGAGTCAATATGTTCAAGGCCAAAGCAGACATCTTTAGGGCACATGTGGAGACCATTGAAACTGTGTCAAATAAGAGGCAGGGATGCAAGGACTGAAAATGAATGGCAAAACCAGAACAATTAAGAAAGAGGACAAAGAAAGTTTTTTAACTTTTTATATCATAGACCACAAATAATTGAAATACTGCATCAGCATTATAGCCTTTAAGCACTATTAGCAAGTCACTGACCAAGAGTATTTAAATGTAACCAAATAAGGAGTCACCCTTAGAAATCTGGGAAATCATTTCACGTCCATTGTAGACATCTTCAGGAGCAAATTAGAGGTAGAGCTGCAAGGATTGAAAATGAATGGCAAAACTGTAACAACTAGCAAAAACTTAAAAAGGACAAAGAACTGTAACAATTAGCAAAAACTTAAAAATGCCAAAGAAAGTTCTAAAGTTTCCCCCCGCTATCATCTCAATATTTGCCAAAGACCCTAAGGTAAGCAGCAAGTAGAATATAAGTAATGCATAATTCACAGTTCCACAATTAAATTTTTTAAATGTGAGGCATACAATCATGCCTATGTCAATAAATTTACAGAGAGTTAAATGTATGAGGAATAAGACTTGAGTCAAAAACCATTGGTTTAGATAACAGAAATCATCAATGCATCGTCCACCTGCGCGATATATATAAGACCAAGAAATATGTTAAAATACAGGATACCTGACGAATTGTAATTGCCTAATTGCATCTAAGCGCCGTTTGTGTGCTGAGAATATCAGAATAGGATTAGAATGGTGGAAAAAACAGAGACAGAGAGGCCAAGAAAGCTCTGAAGTCTTAATTTTTATATATAAAAGACAGTGCACCACCAATTTCTTCTTCAAGCTGTTTGGGCTGGAATTCACTGCAACATGGAGTACCTGTTAAGTTACTAGTTATTATTTTACACTAGACAGTTCCGTGTAAGAACTACTAGGTAAGTTATCAAAAAAAGTTGGAAGAAGGTATTAATCCATCTAAATTCGAAAGGTAGAGTTTTATTTTTCTTCTATTTTGTATTCTCTTTATTCCAATGTTAAAGAGTAGAAGAGATGATACATTAAATAGTAGAGAAGGAAAAAACCTTTTTCTCCCTATCTTCTTTGATGTAGAATCTTCATATTGAACTCCCTGCACAAATAAACTCTCAGTTTAGAGGAACATTTAAATAAACTCTAAAAAATCTAATAACCATTTTAGAGAAAAGCTCAAATCATTCAAAATTGACTAGGTTTAGATAGCTCAAGGTAACAAATCTATTGCTAGATGACTATACTAGCACAATAAACTAAATAGCATTGGAACAACCATAGATGTTAACATCGAAAAGGCATAAACATACCCATAACTGATAAGCTTTTGAGATCTCACATAAATCAGATAGATTTGTAGATGTTTCCCATTGTGTTCCATCTTATACCGTATCAATACCACAGGGTGGTAAACTACAGCATCAGCATAACAGAACCATTAGCACAAGTTCACAAACATATCTCCAAGTAAAAATTATAATTCACATAACCAATAATCCAACATGAAATCAAATTAGAATTAGGTTTGGAATCTAACAGGTCCTTTTTGCTTAGATGTGACTAAGACTATCTTGCTAAAAATAATCCTCCATATGCAAAAGAAAATTTTAAGGCTAGATCGGCAGAAGGATTAGAAATTAGAACATGCCCACATTCTTCAACAAAAGGAAAATGTGATAAAGTTTGAAGAAATCTACATCAAATCTTAAATGAAAACATAAGAGAAAGGGAAAAGAAAAAAAGAGGAGTATAATCTGACTCCAATGCTAGTCCATCTTCAGTGATTCTGAGAATATAAAATAACAAGTGGGGCAGATATAGTTGATAAAAGTAACAATTAAAATGCTTATCACACAAAAAGCAAAGGTGCAAGGGCAGTAAGATAAATAGCAAAGGAACTTAGATAGATCCCAATTAATTTCAAGTCCTTTGTGCACATAGTTTCAAAGACAAAGTTGAAACTGAAATACACATTACAAGAAAAGCAAAGATGCAGGTGTAGCAAAACAAATACCAAAGGAAATTAATTTATAGCATTTTTTGGACACAATTTCAAAGAAAAAAATTGCACAGATAATAAAGAAACAAACATTTCCAGTTTTCTGCTTAGAATTTGACATATTTAGACACACAACACAAACACAACAAAAGAAAAACAAAGATTATATTAAATTTGAAGACCCAACAGCAACAGTTGCAAATGTCAAATATGATTCCATACTTCTTTTGCCTCCAAACAACATATAAACTTGGAGTATCTAAATAAACATGAGGCCATCAAATATGGAATAAAGTACCAGGATTTTAGTACCTTTTAAGACAAGCTCGTCAGAAAGCATTTTTCTACATTTACTCCAGTTTTTGTACTGCACTCTATAGAAAGGGATCCACATTCCCAACCAAAGTCAAATACAGTGCTTTCTGGACATAAGCCTTTCACTTTCTTGTTAAGATTACCTATGTGAGTGGTATCATTAAATTCCGTGTATAAAATAACCCTCAAGAATCATTTTTCATAACATCAAATAGGCCCATGAGAAAGTTTCAGATGAACTTGAGATTGAATTGCTAATTGGAGCAAAATGAAAAAACAGAAACAAACAACATTGGTCAACTTTGTTTTCCAACAAGTATCTTGATGCAGTCCTGATTAATTTGTTAAAATAGATAAATATATTTAGCCCATAAATCAGTGAACGTTTCCCTTTGAGTTCCATCATATACTGTATCTATACCACAGGTAAACAACACAATCACTGTAAAAATATAATGCACATAACCAACAATTCAACATGAAATCAAATCAGAATTAGGTTTAGAATCCAACCTGTCCTTTTGCTTAGACGTAATTAAGACTCTCTTGCTAATAATAATCCTCCACATGCAAAAGCAAGTTTTAAGCCTAGATCTACAGGAGGATTAGAAATTAGAAGAACATGCTCACATTCTTCAACAAGAGAATTAATCCAGCTTGACCGCATGGAATTCATAATTCTAGGACAAATTTCGAACACATAAGACAACAACTATAAATAAAATCTTTCCAGTTAGTATACAAAGGAAAAATTGAGATTTCTATTGATCAGATTCAATCAAGTAAAAAATTAAAGGAAAAAAAAAGCAAGCATGATCAGAAACTAAACTTCAATTTCCTCAATATAATGAAAAAACTCTTAGAAACTCAGTTTTCTCCAATATTCTCAGCAACCAAATAAACCTTTGACAATGATGGCATCAAAACAGATAATAAAAGATAACAACGTAGTCTCTTTAATCAATGAAAAATGTGATAAATTTAGAGAAATCAAAATCAGATCTTAAAGGAATACATATGAGAAAGAGAAATCCCTAAGAGAGAAAGCAGTTTTACAGACCTAGAAGTCAAAGGATTGATGCAACAAACCCAGCAAATAGACGAGCACTGCAGAGAATGCTGTATCCCTCTATGCATTGATATATAATTTGGACAATAATTATGACTATTGGCACTTGGCACAGTGTCAAGAAGATGAACTCTGGCTTGCTTTAGAGATGTACCAAATAAAAATTAGTTAAAAGAGGATGGAACAACAAAATTTTTCAACAAC